CAAGCCGTAGAAGACGAAGCTTTCTACAGGAGCTCTTGGTATTATGTCCTGCATGGAAAGCTGCTCTGTGTGGACTGAACTCAAATGGCTCCTATTCCCTCCAAAAACCCAAAAAGGGGGCGGGACCAGGGAACCTAGCTATAATTGACAGGTGGCTTGCCCTATGATTGCAGCCAAAAGAAGCCACCTATCTGCAGAGTCCCTGAAACTTAGGACTATAACAAACATTAAATGCAAAGCAAACAAAATTGGAGCTCCTGGTGCAGTTGTACCTGCACAATGGCCATCCAACCTCCACTTAAAAAATTCCAGAGTAGGAGACTCCACTGGACTCCCAGGCAGGATGTTCCACTGCCAAGCAGCTCTTACTGTTGTTATTGGGAAAAAATTGTTCCCATCCTCCCAAAAGATAGACTCAACAGGAATTCTGAACTCAAATACCAATTTACAATATTTTTTACATTTTATAAAGTTTCACAATATTAAAATAACAGCTTTTCCCCTTCCCACATTTGACTTTATTTCCAGTAGTTTTGCCATAAAACTAGTCATTCCATAGGGAATTAACTAACCTCTCACACACAAAACACTTTAGGGGAACTGAAGAGGGAATGTGTGCCCGCTAATCCCAGACAAAAAGCCTATCTATAAATCCCCTAACAAAAGGGGTTTCGCTCATTTACTCAGAATTATACATTTGTCCTCTTTAAAAAAATCATTTATAAAATTCACATGTCCCTTTGGGAGATTCACATATATCTCATCTGTGCTGATACAGTCCAGTGCTTGCTTCTTGGGAGAAACTGAAATAATCCCTTGGAATCCCTTGGGAGAGTGGAAACTGGATAGAATTAACTTCTCAGGCTGGCAGATATCAGTGGTTCCCAACATTTCTCTTGCCAAGGACCACTTTGATCAGAGACGACTTGACCAGGGATCACTTTCCAACCTTAGTACCAAAAGGTTTACAACTCAGATTTTGATCAACTTTAGATTCTGTTTGTTTATTTGGGGTTCTGATTCAGAAATTGCATTGGATAGACTACATCAGCTCTAGTTTCTGTTACAGAGCATGTGCCATACAGTGGCTACCATCTGCTCACCAAGAGAAAACTGTATTTTATAAGCCTCTGCACTTTAAGAAGATTTCACGAGACCAATTGCTCTTGTAACAGTGTTGTAATGGTGACGCTGTGGACCATATTTTAGTTCTTGTGGACCACTGGTGGTTCATGGGCCACAGGCTGGGAACCACTGGTATAGATATTATAACATCTGCATGCTTTACACTGAACTTTTACATTTACATATCAGCCCATTGTGTCATTTTTTTGTACAATTCGGACTTGGCAAATGATCTCATCATGGACTATTTTACATATTGCCACAAAACATTTTACCTGTCTGCCTCTTTTTCAGGGCAGACTTTCCAAATGACTCTGACTTCAAAACAACAAAAGATAGCTGTTCATATTCCCTGCCATGGAGGAAACTCTAGTCACCTCTGACATCATGAGGATTCCCCAGCCAACAGGAGCCGAGACTGAAACCGGTCCAGCTTCTGACCAATCAAGGGAGGGTGCAGGTGTTTTGAATGGCTGCCGGATAGAATAAAATGTCTTGTACTGTACTGCGCTCTGGCACCACGAGATGCAGAACCAATCTTAAGAAATAGGGCTACAAAGTTGAATCCACAACATGCGAGTGTGGAGAAGAGCAAACCACTGACCACCTGCTGCAATGCAACCTGAGCCCAGCCACATGCACAATGGAGGACCTCCTTGCGGCAACACTAGAGGCACTCCAAGTGGCCAGATACTGGTCAAAGGACATTTAATCAACTACCAAGTTTGCAAAAATTTTATCTGTTTGTTTGTTTTGTTCTGTTAGAAATGTAATGCAATGGTATGGTTGCTGATGACACGATAAATAAATAAAATACTGTACTACATATTTTATGTCCGATACTTTTGAGTGCAGACTCTATATCAAACATATTTTCAGGCCTAAAAGTAAGAAACCTCTGTTCATGTTGCCTTCAAACTGGGTTGTGTGCTGATCTGGCCTTTAAAGTAACAGGGCGCATTGAGCACCGGACTCTCAGCCCACTCCTTTGGTGGGTAGCTGAATCTTGACCTCACTATCAGGATGTTCTTCCTAATATTTACGTAGAATCTATTTTCCTGCAATAAGAATCCCTTGCTCCATGTCCTGGTCTCCACAGCAGCAGAAAACAAGTCTGCCCTCTCCTCAGATCTCTAAACCACTCTCTGTAGGGCCTGGATTCCAAACTTTAGATCATTTTGGTTGCCCTTCTCTGGGCACCTTCCATCTTGACCATATCTTCCTTGAGTGGTGGTGCCCTGAACGGGACACAGTGTTCTTCCAAGTGAGGTTTCACCAAAGAATAGAGTAGGATTATGACTTCCCCTTGATCTAGACAGTGGATTCCTATTGATGCAGCCTAGAATCACATTGGCCATTTTTAGCTGCCATATCACAATGTTGCATTGACCCAAGGGTTCATCAACATTCATGAGAGTTGTCACTACCGAAATGGGAACATCATAAAGAAAGCTTTGATGTCCAACAGCATTTCCATAATGTGATCAAAATGTTTCTGAAAGGACTCATACATGGCAAGCAGGGAAGGACTGAAAAACAGATACAAAAGAAATTTACCCCAGGAAACAAATTCTCACTTGGTGCTTGTAATTGCTAATTTCTTAGGGGACATCTACACTGTAGAATTAATACATTTGAATTCCACTTTAACTGCCATTGCTCAATGCTATGGGGTCCCGGGAGCTGTCCATGGCATTGAGCCATGGCAGATAAAGTGATGCTTAAACTGTATTAATTCTACACATGTACTCTTAGTGAGGGTAAATACTTCACTCTCATTTCAGTGTAAATTTGCAGTGGATTCACTTACATGGAAACCAGAAGACACAATTGCACCTATTCCATTTGATTGGCTCTGTAGTGGAAAGCAGGAGCAATGCCTACTCACAACAGCCCTACAGGGTAGCATAGGCTGAACAAAACTATATTGCCCAAGGCAACCAAACGAATGTTGTTGCTGAGCAGGGATTTAACCCCCAGCCTTCCACGTCCAAAGGCAGTTTTCATTCTGCTCCACCGCCCTCCATTAAGCATGAAAGGAAGCAGCATTGGCTAGGAGAAGCAGATGGGGAGAGCAGAAGGTGAGGGCGGGATGATTACAGCAGACGTAATAAGCACAAATCCTAAGCGTTACCTTGGGAATTCAGCCCACATGGAGGTAATATTAACCAGTTGTCTAAAGTAAAAACTACAAAGTTTCAAGGACAAAGGCTAGTATTGTGTGTGTCAATTCCATCCCAGATGAGCAATTTTGTTGTTGTTGCATTGTGCAAACACATGAAGTTTAGGGAAAGGAAAACTTAGTCCTAGCTAGTCTTTTCAAACATGTTTGTTAAAGTTATTAGTGTACTGTACCTTTCAAGAGGGACTATAGATTTCTGTAATAAATGAGTGTTTTATTTCTCTTCTCCCAGATCTCAGAGGGTTGCAACCTCCTCCACTCTCCCACACATAGAGGGGAAAAAGCTATAGTTGTGGATCAGTAATCAAATGGGGAAGGAAGAAGCTGAACAATAACCAGTCCCATCTCCACCCACAATAGTTTCAAACAGAGAAAAATGGTTGACCATCTTTGAAAAACATATAAAAGAAGCTTCACTTACAGCTAGAATACAGAATTATGGAAACATGGAATCATAGCCAATGGGATTTTGGCCTGCATCAATAGGCGCATAGGGTCTAGATCTAGGGAAGTAATGCTCCCCCTCTATTCTGCTTTGGTTAGACCATACCTGGAATATTGTGTCCAGTTCTGGGCACCACAATTCAAGAGAGATATTGACAAGCTGGAATGTGTCCAGAGGAGGGTGACTAAAATGATCAAGGGTCTGGAGAACAAGCCCTATGAGGAGCGGCTTAAGGAGCTGGGCATGTTTAGCCTGAAGAAGAGAAGGCTGAGAGGAGAGATGATAGCCATGTATAAATATGTGAGAGGAAGCCACAGGGAGGAGGGAGCAAGCTTGTTTTCTGCTTCCTTGGAGACTAGGACGCGGAACAATGGCTTCAAACTACAAGAAAGGAGATTCCACTGAACATGAGGAAGAACTTCCTGACTGTGAGAGCCGTTCAGCAGTGGAACTCTCTGCCCGGAGTGTGGTGGAGGCTCCTTCTTTGGAAGCTTTTAAACAGAGGCTGGATGGCCATCTGTCAGGGGTGATTTGAATGCAATATTCCTGCTTCTTGGCAGAATGGGGTTGGACTGGATGGCCCATGAGGTCTCTTCCAACTCTTTGATTCTATGATCTATGATCTACATCCAACTCCAGCTGTGATTTTGTTGTTGGCCTTCAAATTATTTCTAATTTATGGCAATTCTAAGGTGAACCTGTCACATGAGATTTTGAGATTAAAAGTAAATAATTTGTGTTGGAATTTAACCCCACACTGCCCAAGTCTCAAGTCTCAAGTGATTGGTGTTTATCCCCCTCTCTTTGAAACCTCAGAAGAGATGGGTGTTAGAGTAGCTCAGACCCAGTTCTTGATTATTGAGAAACGGAGTTATTTCCTATTAATGTAAATATACCTTTTGTGATTTGTTCTTAAAATTGGATTCTGTATCTTTGACTGCCTAAGCTCTTGATTCTTTACAACCACATTACACATTCTGATCACTAATGAGCTGATGCTCAACTTTTGTATCCGGTTTGTTTTTGGATGCTCTGCTTTAATTTAGGGTAGTTTTCCCTAAGAATTTGCCCAAGGCCACCATGTGGGTTTTCATGGCTGAGTGGGGATTCAAACCTTCTTCTCCTACATCAGAGTCCAGTGCTCAAATGACTACACCACACAGGCTCCTTTGAAGTGCAGAAATGCACCAATACTTGCCCATAATCAAATACTTGGTCTATTGGCAGACAGAGAGAATAAAGAACACCATGGCTACAGGTTAGGGCAATGCAGGAGGACAGAGTGTAGAAGAAATATAAAGGAAGTTTACACCCACAGACCCACATCCTTCTACAAAATAACATGCAGTTAGTAAGTAGTGAGTATAACAAACAAAGCTTATTAATATTAGCACCTCCACCCAAGAATGTTCAGCCAAAACAAAAACCCAACCAAATAATACCACTCCATATCAAATGCTTGAGGGCACACTTTGCCATTTCAGTATATTTTGGTACCAAAGGCTTGTTTCAGGGTGAGAAAAAAAATATGTTGTAAAAATGAGAAGTGACCAGAAAAGTCACTTTGACAGAATTGACAGGACTAAGGGGATACCATGGACACTAACAGTATAACTTTTAATCTGCACTTCCTGAAATATAATATAATTTTCAATACTTGGTTGTTGTTTGTAAAATATCTCGTATTCTTCAGAAAAAGTGAAATGTTCAGATCTTGACAGATTAGAGAGATGGGCCAAAACTAACAAAATGAAGTTCAACAGTGACAAATGCAAGATACTCCACTTTGGCAGGAAAAACGAAATGCAAAGAAACAGAATGGGGGACAATGCCTGGCTCGAGAGCAGTACGTGTGAAAAAGATCTTGGAGTCCTCGTGGACAACAAGTTAAACATGAGCCAACAATGTGATGTGGTGGCAAAAAAAGCCAATGGGATTTTGGCCTGCATCAATAGGAGCATAGTGTCTAGATCTAGGGAAGTCATGCTACCCCTCTATTCTGCCTTGGTTAGACCACACCTGGAATATTGTGTCCAATTCTGGGCACCACAATTCAAGAGAGATATTGACAAGCTGGAATGTGTCCAGAGGAGAGCGACTAAAATGATAAAAGGTCTGGAGAACAAGCCTTATGAGGAGCGGCTAAAGGAGCTGGGCATGTTTAGCCTGAAGAAGAGAAGGCTGAGAGGGGATATGATAGCCATGTATAAATATGTGAGAGGAAGCCACAGGGAGGAGGGAGCAAGCTTGTTTTCTGCTTCCTTGGAGACTAGGACGCGGAACAATGGCTTCAAACTACAAGAGAGGAGATTCCATCTGAACATGAGGAAGAACTTCCTGACTGTGAGAGCCGTTCAGCAGTGGAACTCTCTGCCCCGGAGTGTGGTGGAGGCTTCTTCATTGGAAGCTTTTAAGCAGAGGCTGGATGGCCATTTGTCAGGGGTGATTTGAATGCAATATTCCTGCTTCTTGGCAGGGGGTTGGACTGGATGGTCCATGAGGTCTCTTCCAACTCTTTGATTCTATGATTCTATGATTCTATTTTGAAGTCTGTATGCATTTCATTTGGAATTTAAGTTCTGGGCAGCTCGAACAGCATGTTCACAGTGAATTAGCCATCCCTAATAGGAGGTTACACTTCTCTTCCCAAGAATATCACTACCCAGTGTGTCCAGCCATGCTCTTCAGTCACATGGCCTGAAATGAGTGATTGATTCATATTGAGCATAAGGAATTTTCCCATTAAAACCTTGGCATGCCCAGGCTTCAGAAAGACAGTTGCTCTGATCACCATCCAAACTAGTCTGTTATGCCCCTCGGAGTATATTTTCCCGATGCCAAGTGATGATCACTGGTGGAATTGTGACTTTCCAAAAAGAATATGATATGCAATGTCATGGATTTAATGGTATGTGCACAGTCTGTTACCATTAGCAAAACTGGCTCATTCTTAACAAGTGAGACTGCAGCTTGAGTGTAAAGTGTCAATGCAACAAATGTCTCTTGTTTATAGAGTTTTAGGAATTTTTTCTTTCTTTCTTTCTTTCTTTCTTTTTTTTTTTTTTTTTTGGACTACAAATCCAAGAATCTACCACCCTCCCCACTCAAGCCAACGCGCCGATACAGCTGGAGATTTGGATAGTTATAGTCCAAAAACTATAATTTGTTCAAGCTTTTTTTCTTCAAATGTTTTAAACAGAATGCCATAAGGACAAACATTTTCATTAAGAAGATATCATCTGACTTCAATGAGAAATCAGACTTACTAGACGCTTGATGTTTTCAAGCAAATGATGGCAAGATTTGTAGTAACAAAACATGAAACCTATAGTTGTTTGAAAAGATTGCTTTGCTTCTTTTTGAAGCCCAGATGATTAAATTTTTGAAGACATACATCTGCAGAACACTCTGCATAAACAGGGTTATGTGTTTATGCTTCTACTTATTGATAATCCTTAAATGTTTTTACATATTTTCTGTAGACCATAATGCATCTGCATAGTTTGCCTGCTTATCTTGAGTACAGTATCAAGTCACTGTATGGTTCTTCACCTTATAGTGATGAGACAAATAGAGACAGAGTTTTTTGTTGTTTGTTTTTTCAGTTGCTTCTGACTCTTCGTGACCTCATGACTTAGACGAAGGGCTAGAAGGCATGATAACATAATTAAACACTGTCCCTTATATCAAATGGCAAAGTCAAGACCTGGTATTTGAGATGGCTATCCAGGAAGATATCTCTGTCTTGGGGCTTGAGGTTACCTGTGATGGAGGCTCCTTCTTTGGATGCTTTTAAACAGGGACTGGATGGTCATCTGTTGGGTGCTTTGAATGCAATTTTCCTGCTTCTTGGCAGGGGGTTGGACTGGATGGCCCCAATGTCTCTTCCAACTCTATGATTCTATAATCCTTTTTCTCCCCGTAGTGCAGCGGAGGAAGGAGAAAAAGCTTTGCCTCCTCACACCAGAGAAGAAGATACCTGCCCAAAGTAGTTCCGGCCGGAACTACTTTGGGGGCGGAGCTTGGAGGGTGATAGCCTCCCTCCAGCTCAGTCTTTTGCCTGACGGCGAAGAGGACGGACGTGAAGAGCAGGCCTCCTGAAGAAGGCCTGCATGGGCCCTGGAATCGGCGTCTGCGGAAAGCAGATCAAGCGCAAGTAGCTAAGGGCTTCCCTGGGGCGAGTAGGCCTTCGGCCTTTTGCTTCTGGGGGCCCTCTTTTCTGGGACTGCGCGCGCCGGGGTGGGTGGCGCCCCTCGCCATGGGGCCTTTTGGTTGGACTTGGCCTTACTGGCCCCATTTCTTCCAACCCCCTCCTTTTTCCCTATTTGGCTGGCCTTGGCTTTTCAGGCCCCATTTTTGGCGAGGATGCCCTCCCCACCCCCTCATTCTTTCCTATTTCATTTCCCCCCCGTGGAATCAGGGGACGCGCGTGAACTGGGCGCTGCTCGGCTGGCATTTGCCTCGGCCGTTTGCCTATCTATACCTTAATGCTTAATGGTGGTTTAGACAAAAACAGCCCAATCCCAAATGGATTGGGCTGCATATTTACATCAGCGTTTACTTTCATTTTAAGTCTGTGTTTACTAGGCCTGTGTGGTTTCGTTCGTTAATTCGTTAATTCGTTATTAATTCGTTATTTTTGGCATTTCCGAAGCGATATCAAAACACTATTTCAAACCCGGAAGGGTTTTAAAATATCGAAACGGCAACCCCCATAGATTTAACGAGCTTCCGCTCGTTTCGTTAATGGGGTGAGAGGCTGCTGGAGTGCTGGTGCCTGGGAGCCAATCCGGCGCTCCCAAGCAGTGCACCGTGGGTCCGTGGCTGTTTGTTTTTGATTGGCCGGCGAGCCCTTTCAAAGCGGCTCCACGCGGCCGTAGCTTGCTGCAGAGGGCGAGGGAGTTTGCATTGGGTTGGCTTGGCTGCTAGCAACTGGATTAATGGATTCATTCCTTGCTGCTGTGAGTGCTGCTTGCTTCATTTGCTGTATCCTGCCTGTGTTTGGTCCACATTTGGGCCATTTTTTGGTTAATTTTCCATTTTAAAATATTTTTTAATATTATTTTTTAATATTATTTTTATAATTTTTTTCTTAAAAAATATTCTAAAAAAGAAAAGACTCTTCTGTTGGTGTGTGCTCTCATTTGCTGTCTCCTGCCTGTGTTTGGTCCACATTTGGGCCATTTTTTGGTTAATTTTCCATTTTAAATTTTTTAATATTATTTTAATATTATTATTAAATAATACAAAAAATATTCTAAAAATTCGTTAATATTTACAAAATTTCGTAAATACCAAAACTTTTTTTGGAAAAGTTTTGTAATTATTTTAAATATCGAAACAAAAAAACACCCCAATTACAAATCGATTTTAGAAACAAATTTTTTCTTGATCAAACAGGCCTAGTGTTTACCCATTAGATACTCTCATTGCTCTAGACAACAAGGTTTTTTGGGGGCCCCATTGGCTCTCTGGGGCCTGATTGGCCTCCAACGTACATTGGCTTACGTGGGTCTGTATAGGTAAAAATGCATGGAGGTCTGGTGATATGTGATATGCTTTGTTCAAGGCTAGAAGATGGTCTGCCTCATGGCCGACGGCCATTTTAACTTGGCCTCATGGCCAGCAGCCATTTTGTGAGCTGCTGATAGCCCAGTCTCTTTATGAAATGGTGGCCATCTTGGACTCTTAAACAATTTAGAGCCAGTTCACTAATTAACTATCTGCCAGTGAATGCTAGCTACAGAGCCTGCTACCTGGAAAACAATTTTCACAGTTCAGTGTTATTTGTTAACCCCAGGCTGGATTACAATAATAATATTAACACTGACAATAATAATATCAATAACAACAACAATAATAAAAATTAATGTGGGCGTCATCCCTTACAATAAGGCCATTGTTCATCACAACTATGCATGTGTGTTCACTTATTACATCTTTGGATATGTGGCTGGGTTGTGTGTTTGTGTATAGATATATATGTCTATATATATGAGTGGGTGTATGTATAGAGGTGTGCAGACATCTATATTTAACAGATGAGAAAGGAGATTCCAGCTGAACATGAGGAAGAACTTCCTGACTGTGAGAGCCGTTCAGCAGTGGAACTCTCTGCCCTGGAGTGTGGTGGAGGCTCCTTCTTTGGAAGCTTTTAAACAGAGGCTGGATGGCCATCTGTCAGGGGTGATTTGAATGCAATATTCCTGCTTCTTGGCAGGGGGTTGGACTGGATGGCCCATGAGGTCTCTTCCAACTCTTTGATTCTATGATTCTATGATAGCCATTCACTTATCCAGGACGGTGGCTCGGCTTGATGAAAGTCATTCTGCACGGTGATCGCTGTTGAACAGTGACTATGAGTTCAAGCCAGCCCGGGGCTAAATGAGCTTCCAGCCATAGTGTATAGCCTGCTGTTGACCTAAGAAATACTCTATATTGGCCAAATAAGAAGTGGGCTACTATGCTATAAGATCCGCCCAATTATAGAGTTTTTCTAAGGCTCCATGGGTCTTCCAGTCCAACCCTGAAAAACAATAGGCTTTTCTTTCAAAATAACCTTCATAGCCTAAGTTATTTGATATTATGTTAATTCTTCCTATCACAGGACTAAAGGTTAGCCCATCTATGAGATGACTATACAACAAAATAATGTAACCCAAATACAAAGAAAAATAGACCTTGTCGGACCAAACAGGTGCCCCCAGATGGACTTAGGACCGATAGGTCGCAGGTTTGGTCCAAAGTCAGGTTGAGGAGCTCCCTCTGTTAGCTCCAGCTCCTCATCCAAAAAAAAAAAAAAGAACCTCCCACAAGGATTGTGAACATCAATCCACTTGGACATCCCCCGGACAACGTCCTAGTGGACGGCCGTTCTTTTACACCAGAAGCGATTTGGAGTTTCTGGAATCGCTCCTGATATTGTATGTATGTATGTAGATAGGCATGTGTATATATATATATATATATATATATATATATATATGCGTGTGTATGTGTCTAGATATGTATATATAAATGGAAGGATTCAGGGTGAGGGATTCCACATTCCTTAAAATGAGTCCTGGGTCTACGGATGCTTTATTCTATTATTGATGGTGAGGAGATTCCATCTGAACAGGGGGAAGAACTTCCTGACTTTGGGAGCCGTTCAACAGTGGAACTCTCTGCCCCAGAGTGTGGTGGAGGCTCATTCTTTGGAAGTTTTTAAACAGAGGCTGGATGGCCATCTGTCGGGGCGGATTTGTGTATAATATTCCTGCTTCTTGGCAGGGGATTGGACTGGATGGCACGAGGTCTCTTCCAACTCTTTTATTCTATGATTCTACGATTTTAATACTCATACTGATTTGTTGTTACAGGAAGTTACCAAAAAATCAATATGGGAGGAACAAACGACGAGGGTCCAGCTAATAAAAGGCAGTTAAAAACATTCAGTCCCTCACGAGTTTGGTGCCTGACGCCATTTTTCTTCTCTTCATCTTAGTGCCGGATGTTGATTGGGAGCCTAACCAAGACCGTGAGCTATCACATCCTCCAGATGACCAGCGGCTGAGTTCAGAGCCTTCATCGGTACTGTCCGTACCCACAATGCATTGTCAGGCGGCCAACACAGGTCAGAAACAACCGATATCTCTAGGCGAGTGACTGAGTTGCCATATTATATTGGCTTGCCTCCGCAACCCAGAGTCGATATAGCTATGCCCAAAACACAGGAAGGGTGCTTCATTATGATACACTGCACACTTAAAAAGTCACCTATGGGTGGATGGTTTCATCACCCAGATGTTTGACGTAAGGACCAGCTCAGCTTTCATAGAAACAACATCGATCAACCAGTGGATAGAGCCACATGACCAAGGCTATAATTGGAGGGGTTTTGCCCCCACATTCTTGGGGTCTCAATTACTGCTTGAGTCAGTGGCTGTATTATAAACAACGAATATTAGATTTATCCAATCTATTCAAAGGGGACACAGGGTGATGACACTTACCAAGGCCATACGCGATAATTCATATAACCATGATGGATCAGAGCTGAGCCAATTGGTCAACCAATTAGTAATTATGCTGGAGTGATAATACACCATTATCCGACACAAAATCATTCCTTGTACATATCTCGGGATCAGTCGTTAGGCATACTTCAGTTCCCTGGAGATGCTTGGCCCTGAGGAGACAGGCTGTTTTCGCCAAAAAGGTTTTACTGATCCCTTACTTTGTTGAGATTTAGTGAATAGACGTTTTTTAAAAAATTACGATAGCCTTTTCAGACATAGTACAAGGTGAAGTTTATTCCAAGGACACATAGTCAGGTCACCGACTATGGTCAGGCCTGATGATGGGTATATGCTGAGCTACGTCTTGACACACGTCAGTAGGCGGGTTATCACTCTTAAAACAAGGATAATTCACAAAAAGGGCTGTATAGGCCAACAATGTTAAAGGAAGTTGGCGGAATAGGTTTTGGCGATTCACCTTCCCCATTCCAATTTTCCAGGCTCAGGTTTCATGGTGAGCACAACGGATATCAGTGGTATTTTCTTTCAAAAGTGAGCTTAGGTTAGGGTACCCTGACCTAACTTAGATGCCATGTGGTTAATAAGGGGTGGCTCGAGATAACCGGTTATCCCGTGATTGCATTGTTAGACCATGCTTTTCACAATAATTAAGCTATAGACACTTTTGTCTAGCTATAAATTAATGTAAACCAACCAAATTGGGGCTGCGGGTTTGGAGTCCCTCTCCTGATAACTTTAACTAACACCTGCTATTAGTGGGCCCAACTAATATGTTCCATTTTCTGTTATTCAGTCTGTGGTCCACTGGGTGGGCCCCAGAGTATAACGAGATTCCCCTTTTCCTGTAGCCGGGTTCTTTCGGCCATGATACAAAATAAACTACACTGAAATAACTGATAAAGCTATTGTCAAGGATCATCCTATGCTTTGAAAAGCTCGGGCGGGGCTCTTGGGTTCCTCTGGCACATGTCTCACCAACTGGCAATAGACGCTAACATTCCACATCCTGGGATGATTAGGCAATCCTTAAAGGACAGTATTTACGATTAGGTTGATAGGCTGGTGATTGACACAGCCAACAAAAGAGTCGAAACTATATACCAAGAGTCCATGGGACAGCTGCCGGACGAATGTCAACAAGTGGGACGGATGTCAGATTGAGATTAGCGTTAATTGGAGAGGTCGACTATTTAGCAAACATGGGCATGCTCTTGAAGCTGGTGTGCTGCTCAACTCATTGCGAAGTTTTTACATATTTATTGATTTAATCTGGCTCTCCAAGTTATCAAAGGCCTTAGCAGTAACCCGTTTGGTCAGGATTAATACTGCTAAAAGTTAGCAATAGCTCCACCCAACCATCTCGTGATCGGGATATAAGTTCATTTTTCAATGGGCCTCTCAGAGGAGGATAAGGCGACTATATTTACGTGATTTATGTTGACAAGGCCTTACGGTTCTTTTGAGCACCATTACTATCGTCTATTACCACATTCAGACCATTTGTTACTAAACCCAATGCTAGATTCTCCAATTCCTTACCCAAGCATGCTAAACACGTATTTTGAGAGACACCACAAGGATTATGATGTGGCTTAACTTAAGATGGGAAGAATGCTTTATACAGTCACTAATTTTACAGTCATTTCGGCATGGTGCCAGACATCAGACGGCCTGAGTGAGGCCGGGCCGAGTCTCACATTCAACAGTTTACCCATTGGGGTAACGTTATTTCTGTTCCCTGAGGCCATTATATCAGGAGGCTGCCTGGATGATACATGACTGGGTCAGGGGGCAGAGGGGTACGACGCCCCCTCCCCCCTTTTGTTTTGTTCTGTTATTTGGTTTTACAGCCCCAGTCGTTGATGCATTGATGACTGACCTGACGGAACTGAGGATCATGGGAGACACACCAGGTCTTGGAAGTGGTATCTTGTGCCAAGCACGGGAGATTGGCCTCACCAGTACCAACAGCGGAGTACTGATATGGTCGTTGGGGACATTGGATCCCACAGTTGTCTTGTGCTAAGCACGGGAGTGCGGCTTCACCAGTACCAACAGCGGAGTACTGATATGGTTGTTGGGGACATCGGATCCCACAGTTGTTTTGTGCCAGCATGTGAGTTCGGCCTCACCAGTACCAACGGTGGAGTACTGATAAGGTGTTGGGGACATTGGATCCCACAGCTGGTTGGAGAAAAGGTTTCTCCTAGTGCAATTTCACTGTTTGAAGAAAATGTTTTCCTTGTAATATTGGTGACAACTTTGTATTGTACAGAACTGGGGTAACCCCCAGCCTGTGTCGCACTAGCATTATCATACACGATGACACGCCACGTTACATAATACAATATTGAGTTATGGTTTATTCGGTGACAACGTCGATACAGTCATTCTTATAAATTGAGGTCACCACATTTGACAACTGTCAGCATACACAATGAGGTGTTGATATTAGCTCATGCACGCATACCTGGGCAGCTTTATTACAGATTAGGCTAGCAGTTGGTTAAGAGCTGTTTTAAGGGGTGGGGGGATGGAGCTAAGTAGACACTTGCCCTCATCCTGTGGCGGAAAAACAGCTAGAATGAAATACATTTGGTGTTCACCCGAAGCATCCCCTTTTGGGAAAAAGCCATTAACGTAATACATCACCGGTTGTTACTCTAACCGAGGTGACTACTGGATAAATGGCTTTCAAATGGGGAGGGTCTTACCTCAACATCCTTGAGGAAGATTCCTCCAACATTGGCTAAAAGGTTACCCTGGGTTTATGTCACACGGGAACCGGGTGCTTCGCCCTATTTAGCCGAGGGGTAGGCCGGGAAGGGACACTACCTCGGCTTTAGACAATACACGTTCACGCTAGTCTGATTATGATATTCAGTTATTGAGTTAATTAGGTAACAATTAATAAAGTTGCCCAGTTTTAAACCCATAACTGTTGTGTTGTGTCTTCATTTGGTGGGTTGGCAGGCAATCCTTTTTCTCCCCGTAGTGCAGCGGAGGAAGGAGAAAAAGCTTTGCCTCCTCACACCAGAGAAGAAGATACCTGCCCAAAGTAGTTCCGGCCGGAACTACTTTGGGGGCGGAGCTTGGAGGGTGATAGCCTCCCTCCAGCTCAGTCTTTTGCCTGACGGCAACCCACCTCACCCGCCCATTAACAGTATAATAGTTGGTTGCCTTAGAGGGGCCGGGTAGGAATTTTTTCCCCTCCTATGTTCTAGGAGGGTTTTTTCGCCTACCCTATACTGTTACTAGGGGGCAGATTGGGTTTTGGTGGTTATAAATAGGTTTAGCGGAAAAACAGCTAGAATGAAATACATTTGGTGTTCACCCGAAGCATCCCCTTTTGGGAAAAAGCCATTAACGTAATACATCACCGGTTGTTACTCTAACCGAGGTGACTACTGGATAAATGGCTTTCAAATGGGGAGGGTCTTACCTCAACATCCTTGAGGAAGATTCCTCCAACATTGGCTAAAAGGTTACCCTGGGTTTATGTCACACGGGAACCGGGTGCTTCGCCCTATTTAGCCGAGGGGTAGGCCGGGAAGGGACACTACCTCGGCTTTAGACAATACACGTTCACGCTAGTCTGATTATGATATTCAGTTATTGAGTTAATTAGGTAACAAAAAAGTTGCCCAGTTTTAAATCCACAAGGTCTCTTCCAACTCTATGATTCTATAATTCTAGTTCCAACGACTATACTATTTGTCCAGATTTTGGGATTCTGTGGCAAGAGTGGAGTTCTTCCCTATTCTACATTTTGCATTACCCTGGTGAAATGTTCTGAAAAACCTGCCACCTTTGTGACATTTTAATGGCATATCACCCAAGTCTGAGTTTGGACATGAGGGCTGGAACCCTGCTGGAAACATTCATATGGACAAATTTCCCTACTGAAGTAGCTGAGCATTTCCACCCCCAGTGCAGAACCTTAACATTCGGTTATAGGTTGAAGAAGCAGAATTGTGCATAGGATATCATAGTCATATAATTATTTCTGTGCATCCCTGAATGCATGCACATTTCAGTAGTGCCTACGAGTGTTCACTTCGTTGCAGAGTGCTATGACTCTGCAGAGTGGATCATCAAGTTTGCAGATGACACCAAATTGGGAGGGATAGCCCAATACTCCAGAGGACAGGAGCAGGATTCAAAACGATCTTGACAGATTAGAGAGATGGGCCAAAACTAACAAAATGAGGTTCAACAGTGACAAATGCAAGATACTCCACTTTGGCAGGAAAAACGAAATGCAAAGATACAGAATGAGGGATGCCTGGCTTGAGAGCAGTAAGTTAAACATGAGCTAACAATGTGATGTGGCGGCAAAAAAAGCCAATGGGATTTTGGCCTGCATCAATAGGAGCATAGTGTCTAGATCTAGGGAAATAATGCTACCCCTCTATTCCACCTTGGTTAGACCACACCTGGAATATTGTGTCCAATTCTGGGCACCACAATTCAAGAGAGATATTGACAAGCTGGAATGTGTCCAGAGGAGGGCAACTAAAATGATCAAGGGTCTTTATGAGGAGTGGGTTAAAGAGCTGGGCATGTTTAGCCTGAAGAGAAGGCTGAGAGGGACATAGCCATGTATAAATATGTGAGAGGAAGTCATAGGGAGGAGGGAGCAAGCTTTGTTTTCTGCTGCCCTGGAGACTAGGATGCAGAACAATGGCTTCAAACTACAAGAAAGGAGATTCCATCTGAACAGGAAGAACTTCCTGACTGTGAGAGCTGTTCAGCAGTGGAACTCTCTGCCCCGGAGTGTGATGGAGGCTCCTTCTTTGGATGCTTTTAAACAGAGGCTGGATGGCCATCCGTCAGGGGTGATTTGAATGCAATATTCCTGCTTCTTGGCAGAATGGGGGTTGGACTGGATGGTCCATGAGGCCTCTTCCAACTCTTTGATTCTATGATTCTATGACTCAACACAAGGGTTGTGGAGCACAATGAACATGGAAGCATTCATGTGGAGCTGTCACTGCACTGTCCCATTGTAAAAGCTCACCCTGTGTCTGTTGTGTGTGGGACACAAAATATTGTTTAAGAATAACATAACAAAAAACCCAATAAACTCTATGAAAAGACACAATTGAAACAATAAAAAAGTGCACGGTATTGTACCTGAGATACTTAAAAAGTCCAAACTATGTAAACAATTCAGCAATGATAAATGACACGGTGGCTATTCCTGACATTTTTGTGTGTTTGTTTTCTAAACAGTTCTGATTAATATCTTATCTCTGAGTTGGACATAGATTTTTTGTTATCTTGTACAAAGCGGTAGCTTGATGTTTTGACTGTTAAAGTCCACTATCTTGTAATCAAGTTCTTCTATACATCATGTACCCCCCAAGATGTCTGCCCTTTTGTACTTGGGAAAGGACAGAGGACCAAGGATTATGATTTTGTTTCAGGTAGCATCTGAAGAAATAACACAACTTTTCCAAAGTTGTGTTGGAAAAGAATGGTAATCCCAACAAAATGGAGTGGAACAGTACAAATGTGGTCCTATTTTGAGACCCATCTGGAGTAGAGTCACTGAATTATTTGGGTTTTCCTATTGGTTGAACGAATGATTCAGAAGGTCTACTCTAATTGGAGTTAACCAATAGCATTCCAGCAATGATCTAGCAAGACAAAATGATTGATTAGGTGTCCCCATGAGACATTCAGATATTGGAATGAAATTTAGGTTCAACTCTGTTTTGCATTTTTAACACATGTTCTGTCTGAGCAATATTTTCAATGAAATGTTTTAGTTTGAAATTTCATTTAACATCTGAGGCCTGAATCCAATTGTTAGTTACTGCTAAAAAACAAACAAAAAACAAAGCATTTTTAACCAGAGATAGAGAGGCTATGGAACTCATTTTTCAGCTCCTCTGCAACTCCAGAATGTTGCACAAGCTCATTGTGTCACCAATTTGGGGAACTGGAAATAACATGGTCCTACTTAAGGTTGTCATTCAGACCATTCATCTTCTCGTCCAATAAAGATTACTGCACAAACAGACTGCAGCCAGAAAATCAGAAGACATCTACTTCTTGGAAGGAGGTCAATGACCAATCTCGATAAAATAGTGAAGAGTAGAGATGTCATGCAGGCAACAAAAATCCGCATAGTTAAAACAATTGTATTCTCCATAGTAACCTATGAACATGAGAGCTGGACCATAAGGAAGGCTGAGCAAAGGAAGATAGATAGATGCTTTTGAACTATGGGGCTGGAAGAAAATTCTGAGAGTGCCTTGGACCGCAAGAAGATCCAACCAGTCCATACTCCAGGAAATAAAGCCCAGCTGCTCATTGGAGGGAAGGATATTAGAGGCAAAGATGAAGTACTTTGGCCACATCATGAGAAGACAGGAAAGCTTGGAGAAGATAATGATGTTTGGGGAAATGGAAGGAAAAAGGAAGAGGGGCTGACCAAGGACAAGATGGGTGGATGGAATTCTTGAAGTGACTGGCTTGACTTTGACGGAGTTGAGGTTGGCCACAGCCGATATGGAGCTCTGGCGTGAGTTGGTCCATGAATCATAGAATCAGAGAGTTGGAAGAGACCTCATGGGCCATCCAGTCCAACCCCCTGCCAAGAAGCAGGAACATTGCATTCAAATCACCCATGACAGATGGCCATCCAGCCTCTGTTTAAAAGCTTCCAAAGAAGAAGCCTCCACCACACTCCGGAGCAGAGAGTTCCACTGCTGAACGGCTTTCACAGTCAAAGGTTCTTCTTCATGTTCAGATGGAATCTCCTTTCTTGTAGTTTAAAGCCATTGTTCCATTGTGTCCTAGTCTCCAGGGAAGCAGAAAACAAGCTTGCTCCTCCTCCCTGTGGCTTCCTCTCACATATTTATACATGGCTATCATATCTCCTCTCAGCCTTCTCTTCTTCAGGCTAAACATGCCCAGCTCTTTAAGCCGCTCCTCATAGGGCTTGTTCTCCAGACCCTTGATCAT